TTCAGAGAGCATAAACTTAGATATATAAGTGGATTTTTGACAAGAAAACCGCTTTTATGCTGTTAAAATCCCATGTCCTTGCTTCACTAATACATGAGCCCGCGTGTTTACATCGAACCGCTGACTGTATCGAATTTCTGGGAATGATTTTTTTCACATATATCACATGCCTGTGCAATCCAAAAATAGAACTCTGAAACATTTGCCACATGTACAGTATATACACAATGCATTGTAGGATATGTTTGGGACAAAACATTGCAGATTTATTTCGTTTTCTATAGAAACTAATCCTACAATGCATTGAAAATCAATAGTGACGTAAAACGTTTAGAAGTCTATTGAATACAGGTGTACATACGTGTTATGTATTAAATACTATTATAATTACGCGACGCACGTGTTTGGTTGGACTTCATTGCTGAAATTGACATTAATTTTATTATCAGATTTCTAAAAGCCTTAATAGAGTAGGTGCAATGAAAATTTACAATTAAGAAATAGATTGTATTTATATAGCCTTGGAGAGGTTGGGAGAATTCTCGACCGTTATGCAAACCCGAGACGAGATAAAATAGCTATTTCTTCTAAAATATCTTTTAGAAACATTAGAAATCGACTATAATTCTTATGATCAAAATATGGTTTCTTATTACTTCAAATGTTCTATTCAAAAAAACAATGCTTGCATAAAAATCAATTTTTAAACCTTCTGATGTTGTATTCGAGATTTTAATCCGAGGTCGCGTTTGCCAACACCAGCCAATATGTATATTTTAATATACTTAAAAKTCGAAAGTTGAAAGAAAGCTCGGTGGATGTTTGTGCACACAGAAGGGCGTAGTATATAAGTTATTTAACAATAACTTGTCCTTAGGGTTCTCTATGAATTTTTAAAGCATACATATGAAAGTTCTTGATTTCACACGATGATTTTAATTTAATTATTTGAGACGATGAAAATTTGTTGATTAAAAGTTGTTTATGAATAGCATTCACAATGGTATTTTGACAGTGAAGAATAATTAGTTCATCTAAGAATTCCTTACGAACAGCGTTTTTGTCATCTTTGTGACTTAAACGCGGTTGGTAACGAATTTCATTACTTAATGTCATGCAATAACAACGAAATGGTTATTRTAAGAAAAGCTTTCTTGGAAAGCCTTTATAACATAAATAACTGTTTCAATACCTTCACAGGTTTTGATTGCTTATTCTTATACATATTGTCAATGAAGGATGACTCTATTGTAAAAATAACTGCTAAGTATTGTTTTAATGTTCTAAATCTGTACAATAACTTAGTCAGCTAGTATACCTTGTTTGTTAAAGTTAAATTTAATGTTCTAATGTACCTTTTTGGTATTTATGGAATAAAGAATTATTATTATTATTATTATTATTATTATTATCTAAGGGATTATTATTTTTCGCATCGTAATAAAATATAACCTTTATAATATTGTAAAGCTGTTAAAAGTACATAAACTGGTAAAGTTTCAGCGTTATAGAGACTTTCGTTTCGGAATTATTGACAATCAAACACGACGCGCTATAATGAGAAATGTATGCAGAAAGCGTTCTGGTGGATATGTCACCAGCAAAATGTCCGAAACTTCAAAGACTAATTATGATGGATTTATCGACATATTTCAATATCTTTTACTGAAATATACTAAAARTAAWTACTCTGAACATGCCTAAGGTAAAATCTTCCATCTTAGGTGAATTAGTTTTGAGTTTCGTCGCTAATAAGAAACGCGTGACAGTCTTGCGTGACAGACTTTGGGCCCTTATAACTTGAGCACAAAACAACGAAATGACTTCAAACTTTTTCATGTTAGTCATCTCAATAGTTTCTAAAACATATTTTGAAATTATTATTATAAGATGTTTATTTCTGGTTTTGGTTTTTYGATGACGTCACATGAAAACGAAGACGATTTAACTTAAATATTAAGCAGTACTTTTAATTAAAATACWTTTTTTTTGTATTTTTTAGCACCACCAATACAATACCGAGACAATGATTCATTTGATTTATGACTCCCAGAAGGCTTCAGATTTCCTCTTGACATGCCAAGGAAAGAKTTATGACTAAAATCAACCGAAAGAATCTTATTGAAAAAAGCTTATTGAATAAGCCATTAAATAAGACCWCTATTCAAGTTGAGCAGCTTCTTTCGTCTACGCATTGTTTTAAAACCAGCATCTTCAGGGTGAATATCGTACGTATCAGTGACAAGGAAACTTCTCTAGTATTTTGCGCGAGCGCAATCTTAAACTCACATTTTTGTGTATGTTTTTCTTATTATAATTGAAACTTACGTTTGCGCCCTACCGATGCTCGCTTTGATCGAAAGCTTCGTCATATTTTGTTTGTACTTTTTTTCCATTGATGACGAAGTTTTCCTTGTTATTGAAATGTATGTTCACGACCTGCAAATCCCAGCTTTAGGCGAAAGCTCATTTGAATCAACTTGATTTGATGTACTTGAGTTTAAGTAATGCGTATTTTGAGTTATTTTTCTTGGACGCAACTTTTTTCGCAACATGGTGTATGCTCGATCGAATTGCAGTTATAATGTAAAAAGAAAAATTCAGTTGTTTGATATTTGTAAAATTCGAACATCTAAAGACTTTTTCAATTTCATAATGCTGGACAGGATTAAACCCAATACGTGAAGTCTTTAACACACAGTCACGCCAAGAAACTTTATTTTAAGGAAAACTAGTTTCGTCCCAGATTAGACCTTTTCAATTCCTTATCAACTTAAGGAATTGAAAAGGTCTAATCTGGGACGAAACTAGTTTTCCTTAAAATAAAGTTTCTTGGCGTGACTGTGTGTTAAAGACTTCACGTATTGGGTTTAATCCTGTCCAGCATTATGAAAAATTCAGTTCATTCAGTGTTTCCAAAATTTTGCATAACTGTTTATATTGAAACTTACCACAAAATAAATTTCCSTACTTGTTCGTTCCCTTGTGTTGTGTAAAGACGAACTTTTCTAGAAAATTCCGATAACCTGTAAAGACGTGCCYAGCATGTAGGCATTCTGTCTGCGCACGCGCAGTAATAACCGCTGGTATGAGCCCGTCATGGACGGCCGCGTCGCTTACCCGCCAGGGCGCCCTTTTGTAGATGAGCGTGAAGTAAACAAAGAAATAATCATGGCGGTCTCAATTCGCAGTGTACTCTTTCTTGCTTCGCTTTGATTGTTTACAAATTCTACCTAGTTTGTCAGGTCAAAGAGTGGTTGTGTAGTTTGTGGAAAAAAAATCAGCCAAGTGCATGTTCGATCTTGTGTCGACGAATTTACACCTTTGCTTCCAGGGATTCATACGTAACAACAGTTCACTCAGCCACACATGTTGATAGTGCTTTACAAAAGCGCACGCAATTTATTCAATAATTTGACTATACCCACCCGCTTTTACAGCTTTACAGCTTTTAAAATGATGATAAACACAAGCACGGGCGATAGTAGAAATAGAAAGGTATTTTAATATAAGCCGCGGCTGCTAAAGGAGGCTAGCTCAACGGTTGTCTCGCTTCGATGCAAAGCCACGGCTACCTTTCAAGATGGCGCAGGGAACCGTGAAGGAGACTATTACCACATTTACACCTATCAATACAGACTCAAGTTAAGCATGGTTTGTCAGCAGAAACAAAGAAACAAAAATATAAGTACCAGGAAGAAACTTGTACAAGATTTTCTTATCTTTGATTCAAGATGGATGCTGACAAACCATCCTCTTCTTCTGCTCTTCAAAGCTYTGAATTCTACTGCTCCCATTTATATCCAAGAACTTGTTCAAAGATACCGTCCTGCCCGAAAACTTTGTTCGTCATCTCAAGTGTTGCTGTCTGTAAAATCGTACAATCTAAAGTCCTGTGGTTATCGTTCGTTTTCT